GGGGAGCAGCTGCCGTTAACAGTGGGTTTCACATGCTCTGGAAAGTGGGTCTCACGCTCAGGGAGAAGCCAGCGCTGAGCCGAGCTTTCTGGGTGAGGCGGGGGTGAAACCCCCAAGCCCCGCTGTGGGGCTTCCTCCTCACCCCCAGGGTGGTTTGGAAACCAGAGCCCTTCACACACCACACCCACTCCCAGCCCCCACTCCACGAGGTGCCCCTGAAGACTTCAGAGACCAACAGGCCGTTAATCTGCAGCCCTTCACCTAGGGGGCCGGTTCCTCCGCTAAGATTTCTCAGAAACAGCTTCTAAGAAACTTTCCAGGAGAAGAGTGGGTTTCGAGATGGGGACTCGGGCACCCCTGGTGACGGGCGAGGGGGCGTGAGCGGCAGGGACAGAATACCCGTCAGACATGTGGGCGCCTAACCGGAAGATGGGGGGCCCCACGCTGCACCCCGCCTCCACCGCCTGCCCTGCTCCCCTTCCTACCACAAAGCCAGGGGCCCCACTTTCTCAACCACAAAGAATCACCCTCCTCGAAACAGCCTGTGGCTGCAGCCTGCACACTGTCATGGGGGCAGAGCGCCTTTCCCCCGCGGTCCGGTCCGAGGTGGTGACTTTGAACACAGCCAAGGGGGCCCCTGGGCTAGCCGGGACTTTCCAGTGACCCGGTGAGCACCCCATTCCCTGAACACTGCCCGACCCTGTGGCTTAGACAGGATTTCCTAGTCTGGGAGCCACTGCGACCGGTGCTGGGGAGACGACACCCCACAAACGCCATGTCAAGGGGCCCCCCACGTGGGGGAAAGGGGAATGGTCATTTCAACACAGTTCCCAGCAGACAAAGCAAGGCAATTGGTTCTGGAGCCAAAGAGAGCTGGGTTCAAATCCCAGCTCCGCCACTTACCAGCTGTGTGACCTCGGGGGAGCTCCTTAACCTCTCTGAGCCTCAGTTTCTTCATCTGAAAAACAGAAGGAAAAAAAAGCTCAGCTGCACCGCAGGGAGAGGGCGTGCAGGTCTCACCCGAGAGCCCGCAGCACGCTCAGCCCAGACTCCCAGGGCAACGTCAGGGCTCACTGAGGCGACAGCCCCATCCTCCGCCGCCGGGAGGAGACAGCGGCACCCGCACCGGGTGGGAGTCAGGGGACCCGAGCCTCGGGTTCGAGCCGCACACCGTCAATGAAAGCTCTGCAGCGCGAGCTCTCGGGGACCACTTCCTGCCCTGGTAGGTCGGCGGGGTGCGCTCCAGTGTGGAGACCCTCCCGCCCTGGCATGGGCTCACCCCAAGGCAGCTCAGCTTCCCGCCAGACAGAGGAGGAAGCGAGGTTCAGGTCCCAGGGGACCATGTGTCAGGGCGGAGCCATTCCCCCTCCCCCCCGCTCCCCCCCCCTCAGCAGAGGCCTGTGCAGGGGCGGGAGGTGCTCAGAGAACTTGTTTGAGATCAGAGAGGCCCTTCCACCAGCCTCTTGGGACTTTAGCACGAGCAACCGGAAGCCACCGGTCCTTTAGCAAAGGCTCACGGGGCCCAGAAACTGACGGGCCCCGATGGGGATGCTGGTGACACACCGGTGATCAAGTCCAAGTTCTGGAAGCTCACACATCCAATGAAGCAGAGCAGTGGCATTCCGCACACAGCGGGTGGCGGGAGGCAGTGAGTGAGCCAGCCAGGCAAGGACAGCGCGGGGCCAGAGGGACCAGAGCGCGGGCAGGGGAATCAGGGGAAAGTGGCTGCGAAATCACAGGCGGCAGGAGCTGGCACTCAGCCCGCAGGCGGGGCAGGGCCCTGTGAGCCTGAACGCTGCCGAGTCACAGGGATCACGTGACGGGATGAGGTCAGCGAGGGAAGTAAGGCCGATCCTGTCACCCCAGGAGGACAGTGGCTTGTCACCCAACCAATGAGCAAAGGTGAGAGGCTGCTCTCGGGGTCCCGTTCTAGTCACGTCCTCTGGGCTGGCTCTGTCCCTGGGGAAGCCGCTGCACCCCTGTGCGCACGGGAGCACCCCGGTTGACACCCCCTTTCAGTGTCAGAGGGTAAGCCTCGCGGAGAAACGCGTCGGTGGCCTTCTGGACACAGCTCCACCTTCCAAATGCTTCTCTGGGCTTCCAGGTGGAGGTACCGTCAGCCGCAGACAAGCAATGACATCGCGGCCCACAGTGCCTCTCACATCCATGCAACCTGGGCTGCGGGAGGCGTGGGGAGCACCTGCCACTACAGGTGGGCTTCCGGAGGGCGCCCGGCTGTCCTGGCAGCTGCAGTCCTGACACGTCCTTGCTGGGCATCGTGAAACGGATGCTGAAAGCGCCTGGAGCCTCCGTCTCCTCCTCCAGAGAGTAGGGACACTCGTGACCCTGAGAGTGGGTAGGAAGGTGGCTCCCACCCCAGCCGGTGTGGCTAGCGGATAGAGCATCGGCCTGCGGGCTGAAGGGTCCCAGGTTCGATTCTGGTTCAGGGCACGAGCCTGTGCTGTAGGCTCGATCCCCGGTGTGGGGCGTGCAGGAGGCAGCTGATCAATGATTCTCTCTCATCATTGATGTTTCTATCCCTCTCTCCCTCTCCCTCCCTCTCTGAAATCAATAAAAATATATTTTTTAAAAAGGTGGCTCGAAAACACGGCACGTTCTGGGCACAGTGTCTGGTCTTCTCATTACCGATGGTGTCATGTGACGGCCCTCAGCCCAGAGGTGGCCACCAGAGCTGGGAGCAGCAAGAGGACAAAGGACAAAATCCATCACCATCAGGAAGGACCGGGGACGGAGTAGGACTCTGAGGGGACCGTCCTCCAATTTTCTTCCTGAGTCCTCACACTGGGTGGTTCCCGCAAACAATCGGGGGCCTTTTTAAACAGGATGTGAGGAGGTAGACAGGGGAGCTGCCGCTGCAGCCGCCGCAGAGGGCCCGGGAAGGAAGCCCTGGTCCGTCCCCTCTTTAGACGCCAGCACCGTCAGCCAGCACCCGAAGTAAGTCCCTTTGATGTATCTGCACATGTTGGCAGTGAGTCCTCATCTCGGGGCTTTTAAAAGAGGGACAAACACGTTTGGGAAATTCTCATCGAGCCAAGGCTGACCAAGAACAGAAAAGCAAGGTTGCCTGGGTTCGGGGCATTCTTGCCAGAGCGTGGGGAGGTGGATCTGTGTGAAGTGTGTGGTCCTTGTGAAAGCGGCAAGATGAACATAGCGGACTTGTTCTGGTCACTAATCACAGGGTGATTGCCCTCACTGAACACCTACTATGTGCTGGGCTCTTCACATACAAATGCGAACACATACTAACTATGATAGGAGCATAAACACTTTATGTGGCTCAAGCCAGTCCAACCTCCCCAACAGCCTTGTATTAGGTGCCCTCGGTGTCACTCCCTGGGCAGGTGAGCCCAGAGAGGTGCAGTCATTTGTCCAACGTCACACAGCAAGTAGATGGCAGAGTCGATCCCTGCATCCAGGCTGCCAGGCAACCATCAGGGCTGAAAGCGTTAGCTCAGCAAATGCACACCCGGACCTCCCTGGCCAGCGGTAGTTTCCTGCCCGCCGTGTGCGAGCCGTGGGCCGCAGACTGGCAGCGCGTCACCGTCTGGCCTGCGCCTAGCTCCCGGTCGGGCTTTCAGCGGAGCCATCCCAGGGTCACGTCTGGCAGCACAGCGGCTGGACAGCCCCATAGAGAGGGTCCCAACGCCCCAGCCTGACCCTGGCCTCTGCCATTACAAGCTGTGTGGCTTCTCTGTCCCTCGGGGCCATGACCTCCCTGGCGACTTTTGTCAAGTCCCCAAATCCCAAGCCTCAGTTTCCTAATCTGTCCAGAGCTGCACTAAATCAGGATAAACTGTTGCCTCGCGGGATGTTTCGTCTGCGGCATACAGCAGTGGACGGGACTTCCAATTAGCTGTCACTTTTCAAACGCAGAAAAACCTCACACAAAGATCTGGCCTCTGGCTTCGCTTCGTAAAGGAAGGGAAGGTCCAGGAACCCTGGGCTCGCATTCCCCACCGCAACAATTCCCGGAGTCATCTCCTTTGTTCAGAATCTAGTCAGTGTTCCAGTTAGCCCCAGGCCCCACCACTCCCTACTGCCTTACCCAGACCTCTGTATCCATTGGTGTTACCCTGTGTGACCCCTGGACTGGGTGCTCTAAAGGTCTCCTCTGCTCCATGATTTCCCTGATGTTCCTCACATGCCTCTGGGTGCTGCCCTGCCACCCCCCTGGGTAGGTAGTAGAAGGCCACCAGCTTGAGGCTGAGCCCTCCAGGGCTGCCTCCCGCCGCCCAGCGGAGGGGAGAGGCCTGCCGCTGCCAGGGTCCCGATGGCCTGGTCAGCAGAAAGATGATAGCTCCGCAGTGCACCCAGCAGGCCGCGCGCTCTCCGCGCTGAGGCCTCCTATGATTACCTGCCGTGTGTAATAAAGCCGCATTTAGAAACCTTAGAAAGGCCCCGGCAAGGAGACCTTTTTCCTGGGTCATTTCCTGGTCCTAGAATTTCAGGTTTGGCCAACGCATCATCTGACAGTTTACTCTCCTCCAGCGAGGCTGACACGATCCGTTCAAGGTCCCACTGTTTGCCCAGCGCTGCGGGAGCCGAAAATAGAAGTGCGGGCTGCAGCCCCACCCTGCAGTCACCCTGGCGTCCTCCCAGGCCGTGGCCGCTGGTCAGGCAAAGAGACAGTGACAGAGCAGGACTGCAAGGGCCCTGCCCCCGGACAGCCACCGCTGCTCAGCCCTACTGCGCGCCCAGCTCTTCCCATAAATGACCTCAGCGAGCTCCCAGGTTTCGCCCCCGATGTGCAGGGGAGCGCGCTTTGATCCCAGGGATGTGAGACTCCACAGCTGGGTTTGCAAAGCGGACCTTAGCCTGCTGGGCAGCCTGAGGGGCACAGAAAGGCAAGCAAGAGTGAACCCTGGGTGGGCGAGGGCCAAGCTGAGGCTCCAGCCAGCCCGGGGCTACCACAAAAGGCCACCCCAATGGGCGCCAAACCCTCTTCCAGGAAAGGGCTCGCATGCAGACGGGGCGAGCTGCCCAAAGAGGCTTGTCGTGTGTAATGGCAAACGCCAGCGAGCTCGCAGGCCTCCACCACGGTGCTCGAAGTATCTGCTACGCGACAGAAAAGGCTGCGTCGCTAAGAACACTCACGCAGAACAGCACACGGGGACACCTGCTGTGCTGTGAACTGGGGATACCAGGGAGGCAGCGCCAGAACCAGTTACCCGTGTTAGCAATCCAGGAACCGAAAGACAGCGGCAGGAAACACCCACAAATGCTAAGGAGGTACTTTCCGGGAGGGGGCGTGTGTGGGGGACATCCCCTTTCCCCGGGGCCTTTACACTTCTCTTTCTCTCTTCTTTTTTTTTTTTTTTTTTGATTAATCCTCACTTGAGGATACTTTTCCATTGATTTTTAGAGGGAGTGGCAGGGAGGGGAGAAACAGACATTGATGTGAGAGAGACATCAATTGGCTGCTTCCCATTCGCACCCTGACCAGGGCTGGGATGGAGCCTGCAACCGAGGTACGTGCCCTGGACCGGACTCAAACCCCGGGCCTTCCGTCTGAGGGCTGACTCCGATCCACTGAGCCAAACCGGCCAGGGCTACACTTGTCTTTCTTTTCAGGATTTTCTTCAGCGGACAGGGCTACTTTTATGATCAGAGAATAAAACTACCATTAAAACAACAAAAGAAAAATGGTGGCCTGTTAAAACCGTCTCTAGCACCCAGTGCTGAGCGGGCCTCCCCGGACCGGGACCCAGCGCACACCCAGGGCTGTGCCGAATGAGACAGCCTCGCAGGACTTGGGCTTCCACTTCCCGAGGCTCAGGCCCAAAGCCGAGAGGGAACAATGGAAATCAACAGAGAACACCAGCATATGTGAGGATGTGGAACCAGCAACAAAACAAAAAAAAGAAAGAAAAGGAAAGAAAGCAGACAGCTTCCCAGGAACAAGGGCTCAGAAACCCCGTTCCCAGACCCCAGGCTCCC